AATATCACCTTAACTTTGTTGGCCATTTTTGTCTTGCTTTTCTCCCTCAACTAGAAATATTAAATTCTATCCTAGGATTTGCACAAAAGTATGTGACCTATAGGGAATAACATTTACAAGTATCTGTTTCAATTTCCATATATGCAAAATGGAAGTACTACCTCCAACATTAGTTGAGGATCAAATGAAAAATAGAACAAGTTTTTTAGAGATTTTTTTAAGAACTAGCAAACTTGCTCCTAACAGTGCAGAAAATATGAATTATATAAGGTAAAGCCCATAATATCCTAGGGAAAAGCTCTTTAAAAACAACAAAATGACCCAAATACATTTTGGACCAGAATTTCCTTTTGTATTTTGTATAGGTAGAGTTAAGCAGCCTGTTTCTCTGAGAAATAACTATTGTGTTGAATTTATTTACATGTTTCAATAATACCCAAATCAAGGCTTGTGAGGTCCATTTATTTTATGAATGGAAGAGACACTGTTGAATCAGAGGAAACAGTGACATCTCTTCTGAGACTTCCAACTGTGAAAATTTGCTTTGAATAAAACAATGCTGTAACATTTTTGCAAACCACTGTCCTTTATAATCATTCAAAGGCTCCTCCTTGACTTTAGAATAAAATCTCATTCCTTTTCATTATCTAGAACAAAGAATTATTCAGTCTCTTCTCTAGCTACTCTCCCCCAACCCTGTTTTTGGGTGCACACAGTGTATCCTGTTCACTTTGTGCCTCTCAGCACTCAAGGCTATAAAGTGACTCATAGTGTTTTCTCATCGTTTAAACTTTCATACAGACATCCCCTGCCCTTATTTGAATTTCTATCACAGGACTTAGCCTTATTTTGATGTTATCTGTATATATTCTGTGTTCCTCATGAGAGGTGATACCAAGATGTATATTTTATTCATTTTAGGAAATCTAGTATCTAGAACAATGCATTGCACATGATAGGTACTCAATATAGGTTGAATGAATTAAATAATAAATATGCACAAAGGAATACAAATATACCAAAAATAGTCATTCAATGAAGCAGCAAAAGGCACCAATATTGCCTAAGCCATGCCAGGATTCAGGACTATTGCCGAATCAGTAAAACACATATTTCAGAAGTTTACAGTGTGATCTCCGTTCTGCTTCCTACATCTTCCCTATCTCTAAGACCAATATCATTTTCAAGTGCTATTTGCATATTCACCTTCATTGTACCACCTAATCATAAAGGCCACCATAGGAACGTGCTATGCAGCCAGAACTTAATGAAACAATCAAATAAGGCAGCAAGAGAAGTGCTGTACTTGGACATGTGAACATGAGTCTCTGGTCTGCCCTTATCTGACATGTGCCCACTGGAAAGATTCCCCCACTGATCTTAACTGTATCATCCTTTCTACCTTGCCAATCTTAGTGCAGAAAATCATTTTTTTCATTGTTGTCATTACCATCCAAGTGTGCACAGGAAGTTAGCCAATGATTAAGAATGAACATAATCTTTAGAGTAAGACAAATCTGGTTCTGAATGCTAGATACAATATTGAGTATCAGGGTGACCATGGAAAACACTTAACCATTCGAAGCCAGTTTTCTTATACAGAGGGATATAACCATTCCTTTTCAGTTTACTGCAAAATTAGAAGATTAAAAGGTGTGAATTTTGCTGGGCGGTGGTGGCACACGCCTTTAATCCCAGCACTTGGGAGGTGGAGGCAGGCAGATCTCTGTGAGTTTGAGGCCAGTCTGGTCTACAGAGTGAGAGATCCAGGAAGGAACCAAAACTACACAAAGAAACCCTGTCTCGAAAAACTAAAAAGGTGTGAATTTTTTAAGTTTCCTGATAACATTACCATCACCATTTTACCCAGGCTTAGAGATGGCATAGAATAACTTTTCTTTGCAGACAACATTATTATAGGCATAGTTAGTAGATGTACCGTTCATGCTTCTCACTGGCTGAGTTGCATTCTTAGTCATTCTGGAATTATATAAAGAGAGTAATAAATAATCATGCTCTCCTTCATTTGCAGGCACAGTTCCTTAAATCTATGGTTGCTCTTTCCATGTGCTAGCAAAAGCTTCACTTCATTATTTTGCATGGCTCCTTCTCAACACCCCCTCCTATGACTTTAAAAGCTCCCATTAATTTCTAATTAGTAAACTTTAATTAAAATGAACATGTATCATTGCTTTTAGCAGTTGTATTCATAATGCATGTATAATACATGCAAATTTTGTTCACAGTGTTTCAAATGGCTTATTTCAGAACAAACAAACACATGGATGCTATTTTTAAAGATTTTTATCTACAGAAAGATTTTAGACTCGGATCCTTCCCTAAAATAACTATAATTTCATGGCAATGCAATGAAAAGTCAGCAACATCGATAAAAATATCTATCTTATTCAATATTGTAGCAGGTTAAAACATGAATAATGACCTCTGAGCTTTAAACCATTTGGTACCCTGGTGTTACTGCAGTATTTAAGTAGAATTCATTTGAAAAGTAGAGCTGGAAGAGACCAAGGGTTACTTCTAATTTAAGGATCTATGGTGGTCTAACATATTACACTGTTTCTAATACAATAATCTTAGCTGAGTCCTTTTTACCACTTATTATGAAAGGTACACCCCACTAAAGTTCTATTCTAATGTTTAACACAGAGATCAAGATATCAGAATGTATCTGAGTGTTAAATTTCACAATCATTTTCATTGTTTATAGATCTCTACATTACATCAAAGAACTTAAAAGCATGTTTTCAAAAAATAAAGATGGTTATTTTTAGATTAGGATTCTACCAGATTACCATGGGATTCCCCAAATATTTTGATCAAAACAAATAATGGGTCAAGTAACAATTCAGATTTCCACAGTGGACGCCTCATTTGACCATGATGAAAGAGACCCAGTATTTCCAAAAAGAACAGTTCCACCCTGATGAGCCTATTATCTAAATAAACCTCAAAGTCTCTCAGGAATATTTTGTAGCAATACTTAATAAAAACAGAGCCATGTGTTTCTCCAAGGGTTGAGCCAGTTAATGCACTTGTCTGACATCCTTCCTGCTTTCCACCTTCCCGGTTGTGCCTTGCCCTCTTCCGTTATACCCACTGACCCAGTGGCTATTTTCTCACTGTGATATTGTCTTCCACAGTTTTCCTACTCCCCACTTTCTGAATACAATTTCCTGAATCTAATAAACACTATAATTAAAATTACTCTTCAGTTCACTGAGTTTGACACCACATGCTTTTCGGAAAATATCGTACTGTAGGAGACATGCACAGTTTTTCAGTGAATGTAACTAACAACTGTTTGCATTATTGATACGCAGATAACTAAAAGGAAGAGATTTCAAAATGTTTTGTAAAGTTTTCACAAGTTACCAAATAGTATGTTAAGCTCTCTGTACCACATTGTTAGATTAAAATTGCTAATCATGTAATTCAGGCCACCAAATAATTCCAGTAGTTAAATAAGCCTTCTAATTCTTGCTCATAACTGAAAAAGAATACCCAACTTTAGGTCTTGCAAAAGTATTCTGTGGGAACTAGAGCTGCCACAGTTAACTGGGGTTTTTAGAAAGTCTCCTTGAGTTTGAGATATGGATGTTTCCACATCAGTTTGTCTGACAACACACCATGGATCACTTTTCCAGAAAGTATCTTCTCTAAATATTTTCCAAGACAAGAGATCACTACCTCCAGCCATGCTCACCCTGTTTTACAAATATTGATCCTAAGAAGTGCAATAGAATTTATTACACTTACTCTGCTCAGATGAGAACCCTGCTGTTCACTAGAAAGAAAAAGAAGTTTGTGAATCTGTTCTACAAATTCTCTGAACTGTTTCTTCATGGGATATTTCATCATGTCAATAACTTACAATGTCTTTCATCATAAACAGAACTACACATGAAAGCACTTGGTAGGAAGCTTACATGCACTACACTATGTATTTACTAAGTCATTTTAAAACCAAGGAATCTCTGGAATATTAGCCTATATATTCTTTGACACACATATTTCTTATGTGTTAGACACTGCTTTCCAAAACTTTTAAGCACATAAAAGTCAAAAGAACAGATTAGTGAGCATATGGTTCCACTACATTCCTATGTCTGTGAGTGATGTCTGAGGGATCCCCGCCTGCCCGCCACCTAGTTTAGTCTTGTACTTCAATTTATAAGTGGAAGTAATAACTATGTAAAGAGACTCGGAAGATGGAGTGGTAAGCAGCAAATCAACCAATGAAAATACCAAGCGCAATTAAAGTTTACCCAATGTGCTTACTACCCCTTTTCCAAAGGTTCTCATTTACACGTGAAAGTAGACATGGGGATACGACAAGGTAATCAGAAGTATTCTACATCAGTTAGGGTATCCCAAAGCCTGATCACTTGTATACACACACACCACACACTACATAAAATTGTGTATATATCAATTGATTCATTCTATATATGTGACAGATCAAATATTTATTAGCATTACTTTGAGCACAGGACTTCTTTAGCAGTTATCATTCAAGTGTGGGTACCTTTGAGCAGTAACAATTCCTATTTAACTAGAATTAGTAGTCATACCCCCAGAACAAAGGAAAGCATACCAAGTGCAACACACCACAAATGAGAGATAAGGAAAAATGATTTTTAGAAAGTGTGACAGGAATCCTTTACTAATGAAATAGTGTGTCTACAATCTGGGGAGAAGTTGCAGCATATACAGAAAAGCTAGTGAGCCTTTGAGAAGATGTGATGCATGAGAGACCACAAACATGTTCATGCCCTTTTCTTACCTAACCTGAGCTGGGCCTGGGGGTGGGGGAGGGAAGGAGGGAAAGAGAGGAAGAGAGGGAGCACTTTAGGAAAAAAAAAAAAAAAGAGTGGCTAGGCTTACTACCACAGTCATCTTGGACGATTTCATGCAAAATCAAAGCAGTGAGCATACAGGAGCAGTAGTAGTCCCCCTCGACCCCCATCCTGATACATTACCTCCAGATTTGCCCGAGCTGCAAAATGTGGATGAGTGACTGCAGGAGCCAGATGCAGAAGGAGCAGGACGCAGACCTGTGTTTGCCGCTGGTCCGGGTGGCCTCGTTGCTGTTGCTGCCGCTGTTGGTGGCGGCGATGTTGCTCTTGCTGGCGTTGGATGCTTGCCTCTGCGGCGTAGAAGGGCGAGCCTCGCCTTCCCCGGCTGCAGACCCACCGCTGACCACCGTTTTACAATCCGGTCCGGGCTGCTGGCAGCTGGAGGCCATGGTCGTGGCGCTGTCCTCGGTGCTGAAATCGTGCACAAACCAGCGGAAGCTGAACACTTGCACAGAGAGCGAGCCCAGCACCACGAAGAAGAGCGTGAGCCCAAACCACCAGCGCTGGCCGCGCAAGTAGTAGTCCACGGCGAGCCAGATGTCCGTTCCCACGTCCGCGAAGTACACAGCCACGGCGGCCAGGATCCAGAGGCAGTCCCACAGCGAGTAGCGCCGCTGCTCCCTTCCCAGGCGCAGGCACAGAGCCGCCGAGCCTGCCACACCGCCCGGGCCGCCGCCGCCCGAGCCACCCGAGCCCGCCGAGCCACCGCTCCCCGCGCAGCAGCAGCAGCAGCGCGAGCAGCCGCCGCCGTCCGGGCAGCAGCCGGCCCCAGCAGCCTCCGGGTCCTCGGCTCCGGGCCCCGACGGCAAGCCAGGAGCCAGTCCTTGCACCGAGCCCGAATTGTCCGAGTTCTGCAGCGGGGTGAATGCCACGTCGCTGCTCTTCTTCATTTTCAGCCTCCCGTCTGACTTAGCGGCCATGATGCCTCGGCAAAGGAGGAGAGTCCCCTTTTATCTGACACCTGTCCCGGCTGTCTCCTCCTCCCGCCACCTCCTCGCCTCGCCCGGCTTCCCTCCCGGCCGCGCCGCTCTCTGGCTCCTGCTCTTGCGCCCGCTCGCCCGCCGCCGCCCGCGGGGCTGGGCGCTGGGCCCGGCTAGCCGCACGTTCGGGGCCCGCAGGAGCGCCGCCTGGCTGCCTGCGCCGAGCCCAGCTGCTCGCGCCGGCCCGCGCGCGCTCCTGCCAGCCGCCCGCGCTCCGCGCCGTCCCGGCCCCGCGGCTGCAGCACGAGCCGCCGCGGCTGCCAGCAGCAGGAGCAGCAGCGGCCGCCGCGGCACTCCTCGGACCTGCACATTCCTCTCCTCCCCTCGCGCGCGCTCCCTCCTCCCGCAGCCTCTCCTCCACCAGCTGACTCCGAGGGAGAGGATGACCTCATCCCTTCCCTTCCAGCTGCTGCCGCTCCCACCCCGGCTGGGGAGGGGCGAGAAGAAGGAGGGCCGGGAGGAGGGGCCGGGACCGAGGGGAGCAACTGGGGAGGGAGGGGGCGGCTTACTGGCCAGTGCTGGACGCCGAGGGCAACAGGGCGGCAGCCGGAGGCCTAGGCTCGTGGGATTTCGGAGAGCGCTAAGTGGATTTGATGTACGCTGTGGGGGTGGGGGTGGGGGCACAGCTGGCCGAGTGGAGGAGTCTCCACGTCCGGCCACCACCGAGGGCAGGGGGCGGTGGACATGAGCGGGCGTGGCAGCGGCGAGGGCCGGGGAAGCGCAGGCCTCTTTGTACTGTACCGGGAGCTCCGGCACCTGGCCAGATTGTGGTGTGCTACTGGCGCCCGCGAGAGTGAACCGAGCGCTTTAACTCGGAGGCTATGGCCCTGGTACTGGCAGCGATGGTGGGCGTGCCAGGCTTGGGAGATACAGGAAGGTACAGGACCTGCAGGGCTGCAACACCCAAAGCGAAACTGGCATCGAAGGGTGTGCCCTCGGGGTAAGGAGAGGACAGCCCCAGGCATCCAGCCTGGGGAGATGCTAAGGCCCTCCGGTCCTACCCCTTTTAGGTGGCGGGTGCCCCCACCCGCTCACTTAAGGAGTCAGAGGCACCAGCACTAGGCAGACTAGGAGGTGGGGCCACTCCTAACCGCAGGTGGGACTCGCAGCACCCCTGGCGGCTGCCTGGAGCGCGGCTGCGGGCTGAGGGAAGCTGCTAGCAACCAGGGGAAATGAAAACCGGCCCCGCCCTCGCCCCGCGGGGAGTGGCAGATCGCAAAGATGGTGCCACCTCTCTTATTCCCAAACTGGAATTACCTGCCCTTAACCTTCCCATAAACTATAAACGTACACACTAGCTGTGTGGTCTCACTACTACAGAAATGACTACAGAATTTAATCTATCTTCAGAGAGAATGTAAGAATAACACATGTTGTAGGCATATATATATATATATATATATATATATATATATATACACACACATATATATATATACACACACACATATATGTGTGTGTGTGTGTGTGTGTGTTTAATCTTTAAATTCAAATAAAACAGGGCTTTCCTTTACATTTTTTAAACCAAGAATACCTGTGCTTTGGTTTGTCTCACTTAGTTTTTGCAAATGTAAGGGACAAAGGGTAATCCTTAAATTGCAGTGTTACTCTACCACTTTGAGTCCAAAGGGAAGTAGGGGCCACCGGTGCTGCAGCTAGGAAGGGCACCAGTAAGCGTCTTCATGGACCTGGAGATAAAGCTTAGCGTTCCCCAGGCCCTGCCCCCTCCCTGGAGCAGCACCAGGTGAATTTGCACTAGTTTACAGCGCCATTATTGGCATCATGCAATGAAAGTGCAGGAATTTCTCAGCATGTAAAAAACACTCACTGATATCCCACCACCACGTGCTACAACACTCTGCTGTTTCAGCACCAGCCTGACCTGAGTGGGATTCTTCTCAATCATTGGATGTACAGTCAAGTGCTCTCAAAGACTAGTGCCCACAGCTTCTGCTTCTTGATCTTTGACCGACTTCCTCGTAGGAGAGTGTGTGGCCATGGGGCCCATAAGTGGTTATATGGTACATGCTAAACCAAATTTTCTAGAAAGAGATGGGTGGTGACTGAGGGGCAACACAGCAGCCCCATGTCACTTAGGGTTAGGCATTTTAAAATCCAACTTCAACACTGGGCCATTTTAATTAGAAGTTCCCTTTTGGAAAATACCCTGGTTCTTTTTCTCTAGAGTCCAAATCTAAGATTCCATCTCCAGGGCACTATGGCTGATCGTGCTTTGTGCCAAACCATTAGGGAGACAATGATCTCTTAGGTAACTAGGTCCTCAGAGATAGAGTGTATTCTAGGACAAATGCAATGTCTTAAGTTGCGCCAGCCTCAGAGAGTCCTGTGGAGCAGCCAAGGTGTTTGCTATCAGCAGCAGGCTGACACTTCCTCTAGAACTGGGAGGTTTCTTCTTAGATGGATTCCTCTGTCACCAGCACAGCACTTGCACAGACTATTTGCTAAATAGATATTAGTGAAGTGAATGCATGAATTTTTAGAGAGAACACTCCATGACAGGAGGAATGCTACATTCTGTGCTGACAAATGTTCCCATGGAAACATAGGAATTATGAGACTTTTCTGTTAGATTCTGAAAAGAAATAACTAGTAATGGTTTGCTTATTAGTATATTTACTCAAAACGACTTAGAGTCTCTTTAAAGTTGCACTGTTGCATCTCTGAAAACTAATGGCTACCCATAGCTAGCAGAAGGAGTATACGTAGTGAGGTCAGAGTGAGCATTTTCACATCCAGGCTCTGCTAATTACTGGCCCCATGGTGCTGCCAAATTACTTAATACACAGGATTAATATGAGGATTAGATAAGATCATGTATATTGTTGGGTTTTGTGTGCAATATTGTTCACTACTGTTCACTACAGCCTCTAATCCCATATATCTATTAATCAAATCTCAGAACTAGATGTTAATTTCACCTACTCAATTATAATTATTGTACCCATCAAAATAGATGGGCATAGTGGATAAGAGATCAAAGTTCAGACTCAGAATTTTTGTTCATGGTACTTAAACTCTCTGCACCTGATGCTCATTCTTTCTAAAGTAGAGATGCTGATCTCTGGAATTTAGTAATGTTAGGACCACATTAAAAAATGTAAAGGAATAGTCCCCTGTCACATCCGGCATACTCTGTACTGTAGTAGGACAGGCCCATAGGGTCCAGGAAATTGGCTCAAACCAGTTGTCAAGGCATGCACATAAAGTACTTCCTTATGAGCCAACCTGGAGTCTGCCTGAGGGCCTAGCAAGAGGAGCTGTCAGAGTTCCTGTTCAATGTCAGAGTTCCCGATTGTGTGGAATCTGCCTGAGGGTTTAGCAACAGGTGCTATTAGAGTTCCTGATCATGCCCAGCTAATGAGGGATGACCACACAATGCCAACAGATTGGAACACAGGTTGAGTACAGGGAAGAGGGCATATAAGGCCATCTCCATTATTGAATAAATGAGTCTGCTGTTTGCCTTCAACTGACTTCCAGTATCTGTGTCATTGACATTGTACCTTCTCACCCCACCCCCCAAGGGAGCCATTAGGATCTGGCAACATACTAAGTAGTTCAGCCTGGTCCCAGTGAAACATGACAGAAAATCACATCCTATGGGATTTGGGTTGGGAACTGAGAAGAGAGTGGAGCTTAGATTCCTTTTCAGACTGCTGCTGACTTGAGATGCCAGTAAGGGAGGACTTGGAGACTGAGTGAGCACACAGATGTCTACAGAGCCTGAGCCTCAACGCCATGGTCAGAGGGATGCTAAGCACACGGATGGCCCCACCTCTACCCAGTATAGGATGGTGCTCACCCTTTTTCATGGACTTCATGGAGTCACTTGGGGGCTTGGCATAGAGTTGGAAGGATGTCAGCAAGCACAGTTCCAAGAATCAATTAAGCTAGTTCTTTCAGAAAAATGCCAGCCTAGAGAATTTTGGTCTCCTGCTACTTTTTAATAGTGATCAGAAAAAAGAAAGCCATTCCAACTAGGTTCAATACAAGCCTGGTTACTTTCAGTGACTGAATGGTGAACAACACACACACACACACACACACACACACACACACACAAAATGAGGTGAAGATCCTAGCCTTGCACTCTTCCAGAGGCACACAGCCCAAGAAAGAAGTGCAGACTGACTGAGGTAGAGATATACTAAACATCCACACATGCACTTGCAACAACCCAGCACAGACAATATTTTCTTATTATTTAAAAAATTAATACCATGGTTCTTTATTCACTGATTGATATGTATATTTGTTTCCCTTTATTCCTTTCCTATATATTTTTATTATTCTCTTCTTTCTCATTTCTTTCTTCTAATAACAAAATTCTATCATCTAATTGTCTGTCTATGTCTCTATATGTCTCATTATGTGTCTATGTGTCTCATCATGATGCTTACTATGCTTCTTCTGATTTCATTGAGGGCTCTGCTCCTTCTGGGTCTCTCCTAGAAGGGAGAAAAAAGCTTCCTGGAATTAAAAGAAATGAGGTAGCATAATTTTCACTTTAAATCTTCTGACACCTTTTTAGTTGTTTTCTTCTGTCCTAATCTTTCTTTCTTTCTTTCTTTCTTTCTTTCTTTCTTTCTTTCTTTCTTTCTTTCTTTCTTTCCTTTCTGCTCTTTCTTTCTGCTATTTCTTTCTTTTTTCTTTCTTTATTATATTTGAGATGTTTTGGTTATCTCTGCTCCTACAATTCCTGTTATTTCTATGATTGGTCTAGATGTGATCATTGACAGTTTTTTTTTACTTTCTTTTGATTGTCTTTTACTGCTACTCATTGCTGATATTGCTACTTGCTTCTCCTTTCTACGTGGAACTTGAATGACCAATGTCAATTGTGTAGATATTTTACCACTAACCAATAGCCTCAGTCCAAAGAATAGGAGATTAAAAAAAAAAATTCCAAGTCAACAACTGGGTTCCAAACAGGTACATCAAGAGCATGGGCGTTCTGAGGACTCATTCCTGGACTTCCAACTCTACAACAAGAGGAGAAAGAACCAACATGAGGTGCATGGACACCACATGTGTGAGGGAGTG